TTTTTGTTTGTTTTTGTTTTTTTTTATTAAAGCTACTTCAAATACATATGCGCAGCTTTTTTACTAAGCTTGTAAAAAAGAAAAATCCTAGAAATTGATAGTTAGTTTGTTTCCTGAAACATTGATTTTTCTGTTATGCTAAAATGCAAGATATTGATCTGTAGAGTTTCCTCTCAATACTCAAATACATCTATATATTCTGATGGCATTTTTGGTCTGTGTTTCACATGGGTCTGTGCACTGACCCGTGCATTCATGTTGATCATCCTGTAATTGATTTCTTCTACTGTAGTTGCTGTTGGAGGGCATAATTTTTTACTGTATTTGTGATAAATGTTATCTTGTCTTGTGTAAAGGCATTTTGTCTTAACCTTTTCTGAGCAGTGATTTTGCTTTCATTCTGTCGGAACACCTCCATGACATATTTGGATAAACAACTATACTGAGCACAGAAGTGTGGTGCTCACTGTCTTGCAATTCTTTACTAGCAGAGATGCAAAAAATTTATGTACATTTTTTCTTTGCATAGAATTGTTAGAGTTGCAAATGACTTCTAAGATCATTGAGTCCAGCTGTTAAAGGAGCACGATGTTCAATACTAAACCCCTAAACTACCACCCAAGTGCCACAACTACATGGTTTTTTAACACTTCCAGAGGTGGTGACTCTATCATTTTCTGGGCAGCCTGTTCCAATGTCTGACCACTCTTTCACTAAGGGACTTTTATCTAATACCAAATCTAAACCTCCCTTGGCACTCCTTGAGAGTACCTCTTGTCCTATAGCTTGTTGCTTAGAAGAGACTGACACCAATCTTGCTCCTGCCTTCTTTCAGGCAGTTGTAGAGTGGTAAAATCTCCCCTGCACCCTGAACCTACTTTTTTCCAGGCTAAACATCTCCATCTCTCTCAGCTGCTCCTCAAAAGCTCTGGGCTGCAGACTCTTCACCAGTTCCATTGCTTTTCTCTGGACTGACTCCAGCACCTCAACATTTTTCTTGTTATGAGAGGCCCAAAACTGAAGGCAGGAGAAGAGATGCAGCCTCACCAGTGCCAAATACAGGGGGAAAGAATTCTTTTAATTGTAAAATATCAATGATGAGACCAGCTTCTCCAGTTTCATTTTGCTACTAGTGTCAATATGATTAGCTGCATGCTCTGTATTCTAATATAGACACTTGATTTTCCTGCTGTGAACACAATGAATTTCTCAAACTATTGAAACGTAGTGTAACATACATTATAGTCCTCATTTTGATTAAGTCTTCCAGAATTCACATAACAGTCAGTATCACAATGTACATTCTCTCAGGTCCCCTGTGAATCAATTCAATTAATGCCTTTGCAAAGGGATTGGTTAATTGGCGAGCCTAAAAATAACTGCAAGCAAGAGAGTTTAATAACCCACATTTAGGGAGGCTTACATAAACAATAAACACTAAACTTTAAAACAGCTAAAATAGAAGTGTTTCCTAATAGCAAAGAGTATATTGCAGTTTTTGAAGTGCAATTAGTGAACTAAACTGTAGAAAATACCAGTATTTTCAGAGAAAAACATTGAGGCTCAGCAAGATTTAGATTCTTCTTCCTAATGCTATTTGAAAATCCCTCGGAAAGTTTAACTAGTAATATATGGGGGTCTTAATATTTGGTCTGCTCCTTTAAAATATTATACAGAAAAACCTGCAAAGCATTAAAATAAGACTGAAAAATGAATGTTAAAATCCCAGCTTTTAGACTGGGCTGAACTTTTTGAAGAATGATCCTTCCTTGATACCAACACACAAATTTTTTTTGTGTACCAGCTGGATTTCATTGCCATAGGAAAACTGTCTACCTCAAAGGCAAATTCAAGGATGAGTCATTCAGATTTTAACAAGAAACACAGATGGAAAAATGCCACAGCTGCACAGAGCTGGAAGCAGAAAAGTGCATGACCTTAATGAATATGCTTTTACATTTGACAGATTCCATCAGAGAACTTGCAGTAGCTGCAGAATCCCATGGCACCATAAAAACATTTTGGCATTGTTTAATCCCACTATTGCAAGGAAAAGGGTGAGATTAGAAATGTAACATGGAAGCTGCTTTCTACACTTGTTGTCTAGATCTGATATGTTCAATATAGAAATGCAACAGCCATAAAAATGCATGTTTGTTTTTTTCATTTCCTTTTTGACCATTTTATTATCTTCCATGACTTTTGCCTTCCAAAACATTTTCTTCTATCTCTTCTTTGTTTTCATTCCTCAGCTCAAATTTTTGCAAAATTTTTCCCATCTTCCAAGGAATCTCCTTTCTTTCCTTGACACATCTGCTGCAGTTCAAGAAGGAAAAATACACATGTGAGATTTAATAACCCTGTGCAGCAATCCATGCCAGAGGGTTATTACGGAGAAACTGGCCTTTCAGAAAAGAATTTAATGTGTGCAGGATCCATGGCCAGGCCAAAATCCCTAGCCCTTATATATCCCAGGGCAGTAATAATGTCTGAGGGCGCCTCATCCTCAGACAGGACAGCTCTTACATCAAAATTCTGGATGTGCATCTAAGGAGGTGGGCTGGCAATGAGCAGGGAAGAGCTGTTTTTTCAGTAAGGGCCATGACAGATTCAGTTCAGATTCTGACTTATTAGTTGTATGCACAAATGTTCACAGCCTATTACTAAAGAAAGCATTTAATGCTCTGAATCACTCCCACTGTTAAACCAAAAAGCGTAACACTCCCTTCCCTCCACATACAATGTATTACAATGAGCAGAATCAGAGAAGAATAGTGGGTGCAGATGCTTTTTTCTACCCACCTAAAACAAAATATAGAATTTTCTGTTCACAGACAGTAGTGGAGAGCAAGATTTGATTTGGCACTGTTTAAGAATAACCTAAAAATGAAAGAGGAAGGGCAAAAAAGACATTGTACATCCTCTGAGTAGTCTTGTAAGAGTTCAGGGATTGAAACCTTAAATGTTAACCTACATAGATAAGACCCCAATCTTCAAGAGTAACCTTTTCTTTCCACCATCAGTTATTTGGTACACAATTAGGCAATGACATTCTAAAGAATCATTTGTCCTGTTCAGTAATACAGCTTTCTTATATACAGAAGAAATGTTAGTCACAAGTGTCAATATATCTCTTTTAGTCAGAGGAACACAGCTATGATACTGATAAGATAAGCCAAATGCTGAAAGCTCTGCTGTTTGAATAGAGAAATAAGATTGATATATACTGAGGGTCAGTTTTGGTAAAGAAAAGATCCTATAATTTCCATGCCCTCTATTTCCCTTATCAAAATACTTTTACTTTATTTACATCAGCTAGGCATTATTTTATTTTCAATTCTGACTTGTTTCTCTGGTTTTATGCTGTTTAAACAACCTTGATTTTGCATAGCTTCTCATGGTAAATCACTGTTTAAAACTGTCTGATCCCTAACTCTGATCATACCCCACAAGGAACATCCAGAAGCTATTTCTTCCACAGTATAACTAACACAGTTTAGAGATTATATTGGAGCTATTCCTTAGAGCAGCTATCCATTTACGACCTGTTCTAAGTAAAGTTTCTCTAATGAAAATTGCTAAGATAGGAGAATATCGTGGAAGAACATGGAAAAGCTATAGAGCCATAGTGTAAAAAAAATATTTACATAAGATCAAATGTACCTGTATTGCAACAACACTGAAATCAGTAGTTTACACCAAATGATGAGTTCAGTCCTGACATATTCTGTTAATAAGGAAAGTTTCATAGTCATATAACTACAAGATATAATTCTATAGTATTCCTAGAATTTACATCTATTCACTAGAAAGACCAGTAGGGAGTAGGTTTTTTGCAAGAGAAGATAAAATATGGATTTCTAGGTCACAGCCAGGGTTGTAGGTATTTTTGAAAATCAATAGCATAAGAGATTTTTCAGTCTTCAAATCTATGGTTGGTCCCAGTTTTTGCCTGGAATGCATAGATGTTGACACAGTGAAAGTCCTTCTGAGAACAGACCTGGATCCAGCAATTCCGGAGGGCCTCCAGCATGCTGCACATCCAGCAACCCTCCCTTGAGGCTGACTTTGTCACCTCTGTGATGCAAAGTATCTAACATTTTCTGGTCTGAAAGATGAGAGTTAAAATCAACTGCTGAATCTGCTCTAGGTCTCCATGGTTACACTACAGTCAGTTGCTGCTTTGTACACGGGAATAGATGGGATTTTTAAAAACTGAGGCTGCTTCTGCAGAATGACAATCTTGTTGTGACTCTCCCCATAATAAACTGAGAACATACAAAATAATTTTCATAAGAGAGGGTAAATGTAAAGGTAATGCCCATTATTCCAGCACAAACTGACAAACTGCTCAGATAAAAAGTTCAGAGGGTAGGAGTTCTGGTAGGAGAACAGCTTAAAGGTTTTGAGAATGAAACCTCATAAGGGCCTAATAACAGCCTTTTGTGCAGACTCTTTCTTCCCAACATCCTTTCTTTGCAGTCTAGACCTTTGTTTACTTAAATCCTGACAAAATGCCTGATTCATATAAATTGTTCTCCATTAGCCTAAGGATATAATTTCAATATTATAAATAATATTAAATAAATTTATTTTTCATTAAATGCAGCTCCTGCACTACCAGTGCATAGATCACTGACAAGAGTGAAGAGTAAAGGCATTTATGAGCATGTGTTCACCTCATTTTACATTAACCGAAGATGAAGAAAATCACAAGTAGATTTCCCTATTATTGAATAGGGAATTTTATTATCTTTGTAAAAATATCACTGGCTTTTATCTCAACAGCTACAAGGGACCAGCATGTCAGCCTTACATTTTGAAACACCATCATCAAAATGCCCTCTAGCAACACTGACTTAGTGGAGACAATGCCACCTACTGAAAAATTCACATCTCTTGCTTCAGGACACTTTCCTTCATCACTAATTGTCAAAGCAGAATTGACAGTGTTACCTAAAGAGCTGCTAAGTTTAAACTGCATCACTACTGTTCTCAAAAGAGATGAGGAACCTCTTCTTCTCATCTCTCCTTATGATGGTAGCAGGGGAAGAACACAAGCTATTTCCAGACACACACATTTTATAAAAAACTAGCATAATGTAAGCCCTTGCCTTAATTTCATTTTCTCTTGAGATTTTTTTTTTCTCCTTCACAACTGGAGCAAAAGACGCTTTCATTTCTGTTTTACAGCTTTTTTCTTACCTGAGAAAAGGCCAGATGAACACACAATCTGCAAAAAAACAAAATCATTGTTATTTGCTCCAGAATGTAAATAACTAAGATTTCCTCTATAGTACTAACATTGCTAAAAGGTAGTGGGTCTTGTGGGAAAAGTGGCCACTGAACTAACATATCCTGAACACACACAGCAGAAACCTCGTCCCAAGACCTGTTTTTTTTTAAATGTACCTTGCGTTGCCACAAGAGCATGTTTGAAAAGTCTTAACTATTAAAATAGGATGAAAGATATCTTATGTAACAGTATTTAAAAGAAACTGCATAAAAGCAGCTCAGGGAACTGTGCAAAGGCAACTGTGTAAAGTTTTAGCTACGTCAGGATTTTTGCTCTGTTAGAAATAAGCCATTCTACAAAATACAGCATAAATAATCAGCAGCATAATCCTCCAATTCTTTATCATGGGAGGAGTTCCCAGAAAGTTTGCCTAAACATTCACGTACTTTTCTCTCTAACAGATCAAAATGTTTCCACCAAAACAAAACAAAAAAAAATGTTGCTTAGGCAGAAAAAAACAGACATATACAAAAACCTAAAATAATAGTAGGCAATTCAAAACATTCATAAATGACAATAAAATGAGATTTTGCTGTTCTTTTCTTTTGGAAGTCATTCCTTCTGAAGCAAAATAAATAGCATAGGAATATTGCATTCCTGTATGATCTGACAGTGTCCAGTTTGATATAAAATGTTAGTTCATATCCACCTTAGAAAGAATAACGTACAGACATAAGAATTAATGTCAAGATTATGTTTAGGGCTATTCAGGATATTATTTCTTCTCAGTTCTCCTTCTTATAAATTATGCATGATAGATGGTGATGTGTTCTCTGCTTGCCTGTGACTGATGCGGTCAGTACTGCAAAGGTACAAAGCAATCAAAATGAATCCTTTCTCTGCTGAGTAAGAACATGAAAGGACATCCACAACAGTTATTCTGTGGTTTGCAGTTAATTTCAGCTGCATTTTTATTTTGCTTTTTAAAAAATTAAATTAAATATTAAAGCAACATACAAAAATTCTTCCCATTTTCCTTAATTTTATGTGCTCTTTGGTTAAATGAATAAACTGAAATACAAATGTTATATATAAAATTGCTAGCATTCACAAACTTCCCAATGAGTGTTTTCCGAATGAGAATTTTTATTTCTCCTCATGCTTTTAAATGAGCTCTTTATTGCCAGTCATTGGGATTGGATATGTGCAATTGCAGATGGCCACTATGATCTGACAGAAATTCTAAATATTATTTTTTTCCACAGAAAGGGTTTATGTGGAAACGATTTATCCAAATAGAAGTCACTCAGTTGACACAAGCAGTGAGAAGAATCAAACTAAGAGTACCATACCCAGATTTGTGTATAATGAGTAAAAGCATAAGTGACCTATGCATACTTATACATATATAATGTACAGGTTCAGCTCAAAGGTTAGAATTGTTTTTCAGAGCTGCATTTGTCCACTTTATAATTCAAATCCCATTTTAAGAGTCAGGGTTATTTCTCTCTTCATTTACTTTTGCTTGCTTCTCTTATGCAGTGCTATATAAATGGAGCTCCTGTAAAATGAAGCAGTGTTTTGTTGCTGGTGGCATTGATAAATAAAGAACAAGATACTATAAATATTTTATGGAGTTCCTAAAGGCTACATTCACTTTCAGATCCTTCTGCGTCAGAAGTAGATTCAGTGGGAGCATGTTAGTTCATTCGAGACTTGGTCTGTTCACTTTGTTTCATTATATTCACATAAAATGGCAGCAGCTGATCTTTTTTTTCCCATAGTGCTGTTACAAAAAGCCCTACACAACAACTGCAGTCATGATTATAACAGAGCAAGATGATGTCGTCACACTCACAAACAGCAGAAAAGAATGTTCTCAGTGACAGCTGGAGTGTTTGTTCAAGGCTAGGTTGGTATGTTATACTGTTATGTTTGTTATGTCATGTTATGTTGCTGAATAAAGTACAGCCATGCAAACAGCAGGTGGCTCTGTGCAGGGATCTCAATGCATAAAGCTTCTTGCGACAGGCATCCCCAGCTAGATGGATATGCCACTGGCTTGTGCATGCACACATTGGCCACAGCAGAATGAACTTTATGAGCTTTACCCAGTCTGACACTGTCTTTAGAGCTCAGCATTTATGAGTCACATAGTCTGCCACCAAATGGTGATTTTATTTGGTATGTTGCTTTGCTACTCAGGTTGTTTTAAGTATCATTTGACTAAATTATGATTACAGTTATTGAAATGAAAACCATTAGGAAGCTAATGAAGGACCTATCCAAATATCCACTGCTTGGCATTCCCATGGTTTTACTGAGAATGGTTTGATGTGCCTCTAAGGAGCAGAATACTATTTAGATTTTGCATTCAGCAAGAAATATAACACAACCCACCCATTTATCCATATCTACAAAGGAATGATTGATCCAACTGTTACCCGTTGAAAGTGTTTTTATGAAAGAGGACCAAAATATTTGGGGGTGTTTTTTTTTTGTTGTTGGGGTTTTTTGTGGTTTATAACTAAATCAGTATTATTTGCTTTCAGACTGTATAGTGTCACTTCTGGCCGAAAGGAACTTACTCCACTAAAATCACAAATTTTAGTAATGTTTTGGTTTAATTAGTGTAATTCTCAGCCCTTCAGGTACTTTTGAAGATTTTCAGAAAAGAAACTTGTAGAGAGTGCTGACAAAAAACTAGATTTATACTATTTTCAAACTTCAGTGATTTTGTAACACTGTTTTGCTAAGGAGATATCACTCCCTCTTTTAAAGTGTCTGTGAATTGAAACAGGTAACTGATTGTCTCCAGTTTCTGAACAAAACTTCTGCTTTGGAAATGTTAATACATATTGACATTTTTCTCATACAGTCCTGCCAAACACAATGCAAAATTTCATAAGGGGCTTTCATAAATGAACCTTATGAAATTTCATAAAAAAGCCGATGAAATACATCCTAGGTGACTGCTTACAGTGAGATTTTCCAGCTCTACATTTTTAAAAGTAACAGGATTCAAAGTCCTAATGCTACCTTAAAAAAAATTTTTAAAAAGAAACAAAGTTATCTGTGGTGGTCAGTCAGCCCATTTGGTGAGTTTTATTTGTTGAAAGGACCAGGGTAAAGAGCATGAGTAGCAAAAGCAAGAACATGCAGTAAGGAGAATAACACCAAATGTCCAGAGGCAGAGTCCACGGTGTAATCCTAGGAGGGTTGAAAACACCAAACAGCAGCTCTCTGGACACCCTACTATTGCACCATGTATCCCACTCCATAATTAGTCACAGCTCCTTCAGACATCCAACAACTATCAGAGCAATCAAGGTTTGAATTTCTTTTCTGCATCGCCAAGGAAAAAAATATATAGCAACCTAATCTCGTTAGTGCTGACAGAAAAAAAATATGAATCTGCCTGCCTTCAAACAGCATGTCCAAGAACTGCTTTTGCACCAACTGCTCTCTCACCCAAATCCCCATCCCACTTACAAACCTCTTGAATCTATATCTGCTGCTCTCTCCAGCCTACTGGTGCTTGCATTGGTTCCAGTCCTGCATGTACCATATAGTAAATAAGTATTATAAAACATGTAAATTTAATCTGTCAATTTATTTAGAAAATAAAACCCCAGTTCTGCCCACAACCTCTCTTGCAACCCTCCAAGTTACAAGAAGGTGTTGTGCAATATGCTGCAGAAGCTATACTTGGAACAAGAATTAAAATCCATAAAGATCAAAAGGATAACAACGTTGGTCATCAACAATTGACTTTCATTAGCGCAAAATTATATACAGATTAATTAATAATAAAAAAAAATAAATGAATACCCATTGCCAAAAAAGCATCTTTGATAAAACTGTCAACAATATTTTAAGGCGTCATAGGTTTTTAGGTTTGGGGGTTTTTTACCTGTTTCACAGCAGCAGTTGAGGCTCACCATCTGGTGTGAGCTGAGATTTCAGAGAACAGCCAAACTGGTCAGCACCATGGTGATTTGCCAAGACATTAAGTAGAAAATGCTTCGGGAATACTAAAAAAAACTGTGGACAAGATATATCACAACTATGAAAAGAAAACAAGGAGTTGAAAACAGGAAAAGGAATTAACACAGAGAAATTCAAAGGAATTAACACATACAAATTTTTGATTGTATTGCCATAATTTCTTAAAGGAACTGCTGAGTAATTAAAATACTGTTGATTATCTTCCAGACCAACTAAATTTTCCATGTAGTACTTCCTATTCTGTTAGGCCAACTTAGAGAATGACTAAATATTTGTTTCCTCAGTTTCAACAGTTGCAGCATAAGCTTCTCTAAGCTTTTATCTATGTTAATTATCTTTTTTTTCTCATAAAATACATTTCAAGCTAACCCCATTACAAAACAGTGCTTTAGAAAGCCATCAAAAGCAAAGCTTAAAGAATCATCTGATGCCTCTTTTCTTTAAGAGTGATATTTCTTTCTGATCACAGAAATGTCTCAATTCACAGTCATCTGAAGTTCCTACTTGACTGATTTTTTGATACTCTCAAGTGTTCAATATCTCCTTGACTTCAATGTTAAATCTCTGGATTTTTTCTGGTTCCTGCTGAGATGCAAGTGATTACATATTCAATTAAATCTCAATGTCTGAAGACCTAACATTTTATTAAATGGAAAAGTATAGTTATGTAAACTATACATACACAGATATAAACACACAACAAATACACCACACTCGGATTTTACATAAGTAAGCAGAACATTTAACAGACAAATATTTTTAGTTTCCCAAATATATATTTTTGTCATGTTGTGATCTGTGTATGTGTTAACATGATTAATCTATTATTAATGTACATTCTCTGCTTAGTTTACTCTTTAAAAATAAAAACAAAAAAACAAAAAACCTAAGTGTTCTTTTTAAGTTTTACTCTAATAAGCCTATTGCAAGACCCTCAGGAAAGGACAGGTTTACTTCACAAAATACCCAGATACAATGAAACATAAACAATTTTCTAGCTGCAAACATGACCCGTATGCTATAATGATGAACAATTCTTTTGCACATGGGACTTTGAACTGCCCTCCAGATATGTAATATTTTGATCCATCAAGGTTTCTATTTTAAACTCTGAAATATAGTCTGAATGAAGTATGTTGAAAAGTGCACATCATTTAAATATTTCTGTCCTTATAGTAGTTATTAATACATAATTCCTTGTGGATATTTTACACTTGAATGCATCAGGTTGCCTCCCTAATAAAGCTGGTTTTATTTCAGAAAAAAATAGATTGAAGAAAGTATTTACAAAGGTATACATTCATATTCTGCAACAAAGACTAAACCCCTGCATTAGTACAGAAGGTATGCGTGAGTCCTACAATGTACCAGAAAAAAATTAATCTTCTTTTAAAATATAGCATGTATTAAATTAGATGTCACATACAGAAAATGTTTTTGTTGTTCCAAATTACGAGCTCTGTCTTGGGGTTGGTGCTCTTCAATACCTTCATCAGTGACATCAGTGCACTCTCACTGAGTTTGCAGATGACACAAAGCTGAGCAGTGCAGGTGACACAACAGGAAGATAGGGCGTTTTTCAGAGGGACTTGGACAACCTTGAGAAGAGGCTCACAAGAACCTCACAAAGTTTAACAAATGAAACATCCTGCTCCTGAGTCAGAGCAATCCCAGACACAAGTCCAGACTAGAATAAGACACCATTGAGAGCAGCCCTGCAGAGAAGGATGAAAATATGGGCATGACCCATCAGTGTGTGCTCACAGATGGCCAATGGCATCCTGGGCTGCATCAAAAGTGGACTGACCAGCAGGTTGAAGGAGGTGGTTCTCCCTCTCTGATCTGCTTTGGTGGGACCCCACCCAGAGTGCTTCATCCAGCTCAGCACGAGAAAGATGTTGACCCATTAGAGCAGATGCTGAGGAGGCCATGGAGATGATCAGAGGGCTGGAGCACCTCTCCTACACAGAGAGTCTGAAAGAGCTGGGGTTATTCAGCCTAGAGAAAAGAAGACTTCGAGGAGTCCTTCTTGCAGCTCTTCAGTACTTTAAGGGGACTTATAAAGAAAGATCAGACAAATTTAATTATGGCCTTCCAATACCATAAGGGGGCTTATAAAATGAGGGGGAGGGACATTTTATATGAGCAGACAGTGTCAGCACAAGGGGCAATGGTTTCGGACTGAAGCAGGGCAGGTTTAGCTTAGATCTTAGGAAGAAATTCTTTATTGTGAGGGGGGTGAGGTGATGGAACATGTTGCCCAGAGAAGTTGAGGTTGCCCCATCCCTGGAAGTATTCAAGGTCAAGTTGAATGGAGTTTTGGTCTAGTTAAAGGTGCTCTTGTCCAGGGCCAGGGTGCTGGAACTATATGATCTTTAAGGTTTATTTCAACGCTAAGAATTCTATGGAATTATTCTATGAATTAGGACAAAATTGTTTTGAGAAAAATGCTCCTAGAAAAAGAGAAACATTTATTTTTATAAGACATGATCTAGGTATGAAGAGAGATACCTAGTCTGTGCCTAAAAGGAAAGAATTATCACATACTGTGACAGATTCATTATCCTCCAGGGAAGAAGAGTTTGCAAACCATCCAGCACAAACCATTACCCAGTGGAGAGGAGTTTTGTCTGTGGGGAGGCCTATTTTTGTCCACACACATACATACCTCTCCTACTGCCCTTTTAACCACGTATGATTTTGACATGCTGGGGAATATTTTAGCTGTACCATACTAGAGAGATGTTTTTCTGAGAACCTAATAAACAAAGACAGATCACTCCATTAGTTCCATAGTCTCCACCAGGACATTGTAATGATTCTGATCCTTAATATTTTGGTTTATCGATATTATTTGTCTAGTCCATTACATATTGTAATTCTGAATAATTCTTTTTGTGTTCTTACACAGCAATATATGACTTTGTCCAATCTGCAGATTTCTTAAACTTTAGCAAGGACTACGAAGCTGATGTTTGGAGAGGTATTTATGTTTGAAGTATTTATTATTGAAGTTGAAAAGAAACCTCACTTCTTTCCTTTTTAGTTTCTTTTTAAAATATTGACTGTATAGCTGAATATTACTGCTCTTTTTTCATACCTGGATAAAATGATGTAAACTGGACTGTAATTGAATGGTTTTTATTCAATATTTATGTTTATTGCATGAATATATTCCAACGTTTATGTAGCCATTTTCTACATAGTTCCTATGTAATGAAAAACATTTTATTATAGCTTCTGTTTAATTTTCAGCATTTTATGAGTCTTTTGAACACAAGAAACTCTATGATCAGGTCATCACATGGCTATAGGTGTGACATGGAAAACCCTGAATTGCCATTCTGGAAGGAGTATCAGCATGGCAAATTTAATGTTTATTTCAAATTAAACACTTTTCCAGCTACAAGATTAAATGCTGCTTTAGGTCAGTATTAAGTCCTGTATTTACTCATTGTAGATATAGGGATCTCCAGGCCTGTGATAGCCACAGCAACATGAAATATTTGTCAGTATTAAAAAAGAGTAAAGAATTGTCAAGGACAGAGCTTATATGACTCTTGGGGAATTAAATCCTCAAGTTCTTTTGACAGAAGAAGGTAGTGAGAAGTGTTTATCTTCCTTTCAAATCCATGTCAGACCGTAGTGACACAAGCAGTAAGGTCTCACCCTGACAAGGCAGGCAGGCGAAGGGGCGTGCAGGAGAGGACTGCAGTAACCTCTTCAGTAACCCGAGCAGCAAAATGGGCACAGAGCACAGAGCGATTGCTGAATGCTGTCCCTGGCCTCAACCTGTGCTTCTTGGCCTGCTCTAAAACTGTACTAACTTCTGCATTCTCTAATATTTACCCTCTTCTCTGAGAATAATGAATATGAAGCTGCTTTAATACCATGGCCTTATTGCCCTTCTCCTAAGCCAAGGAAAAAATTCTTCTGCACTGCAGTTTTTCCCTCTGTTTCATAGACATAATTTTGTCATGTGTGCAGCTACTATTAAAGGTAACTACACTTACTACTGTGCTTCATGTGAGTGTTATTTAAATAAAGGAATTTAACTTGTTACATACAGAAAGAACATAAAACATCTGGGATATAGTCTAGTGCTTTGTTTTCACAATATTTTCCCTAACGCATGAACAACAAAAAGCACAAGAAGTAAATTACTGTGTCAGTCCAATTGTCTGTTTTTCTGATGTGTTGTTATTACTAGGCTCTGCTGTTTCAGCTTTCTCACAAAAGTATGAGGGCAGAAGATACACTCCTGAACCATTTGTGCACAGGCCTAATGTCCTCAGCACAAACTCTCAATTCCAAAGGTATGGCACTTGAATGTGTCTGAAAATTTAGGTATTTTCTTTATGATCCTGTCATAAAAAACTGCCAAAAAGACCTCACTAGAAATCAATAGAGATGGAGAAGACACAGTAAATACACTGTCATGTCTGAAAGGTAGCATAACAGATCTGGAGAGGGTATTTTTATTGATGGATAATGTCTGAGGAAGAACACAGATAAGTCAGTGCCTCAAGCAAGATTCAATTGCAGTGACTGCTGCTTGAGAAAAGATGGTGAAAATACGAAATGCTTTAGAACTTTGCATTGCCTCCAGAAATTATGTCAATATAGAATACATCTGTATTTGTGATATTATTTGAAGATATTTTCTAGTTTTAAGTTTTATATTTTGTGGTGTCATAAACTGGGAAACTACTTCCCAGTTGCAGATGCTGCTTTTAAAATTTAGCAAGCCAACAAGAAGGAAAGGATTAATTCTATCTATGCATATCTACCTCTTGACATCTCCATAAAATTTATGTTTATTTTAGGCATTACCTGCTGACCCTACAGAAAAATTCTCCTGGAGTCCGCTCTCTAAAGCTGTGATGTCTGGCTGGGTAGCAGCTAATAGAGTTTTTGTTCTATTCTGGGAACTGCAGAGCTCTCTCTGAAGGAGTAATTTTGTTTCCTTATTGCATTCCCATTGGATGCCATAGCAGGTTCCTACCATGCATTCATAGGTCTGAAAATCCACTGGTTCTTGGGCAATTGTTTCATTTGCAACAGATATTTGATGGCTCTGGCAGACAGGCATGAGGAAAGTGTTTATATCAGTGGGGAAGCAACACTACACAAAAAGAGATCGAAGCAAAAGGTTCAAACAATCTGCAGTCAAAAAAACCCCTAAAGAATTAAGCAAATCAGAAGCTATTTTGAATGAAAGGTTGGAAATTACAATTAACTCCTTTTTAGATGTCATATGCTCGAACAAAGAAAGACAAGTTTAGGCCCAGCCTGTACTCATATAAAAGCTAAAATTCTCCTCAGCAGGTATAAAAGAACACTTTCAGTTATTGTATCTGACATTTAATGGGCAACTGCCTTGACTGTGCTGCTGAAAGACAATGAAAGTCAAAAGCACAAGTCAGAAGTAAGCAAACACCCCCTTTCAATTGGAGAGAGAAGTTTTACTTACCCCTGTGCAGAATGAACTACCCTTAAGTAACACCACGTTGAACACCCACACATGTGACAGAGCAGTTCCAACACATTCATTGCAGTTTGCATATTTCAAGTATGTGTAGTAATGCATAACTAGTAATAATGCATAATTATGGAATAATTAAGGGATTAAATAATAAACCAGTGTCACTGAGTCTCACACACACCCACTCCAGGTTATGACTCTGCCTGTGTACCATAAAAATTGAATAGAGTTTTGAATTGAAACCCTCATATTGGAGTTTGATTTCCAAATACCACCTTATTTTAAAGTCCTACAGCTCTTCCATTCTCTTAACTGAAAATGGCCATTTTGATGCATAACTGAAATTGAGTCCCTGTTTGAAATTGATAATTACTGCCTGGGTGACAATATCTGC